GTATGTATTTAACAATATGTAACTATGGAGATTACTATGATTTCAACATTCTTAACAGTGACAATGTGTTATATAAAACGGTGTGATAATTCGTTTTTCTTTTTAATGTATAATAACATGTATGGCATATTGGTCGTACTATTAATAATACTAGAACATGTACCTTTCAATATTATGCATGCATATTGATTCTTGAGTTTACCTGTAAAATGCAAATCAAAATTTCTCATTACCATTCATTACCTTGAAAAATACCTTGACAAATATTTAAAAGTCATAAAAATAATCGTAAACTCTTATAAAACAAAACGAGAAAATCTTTTAAACTAATAAACCAAAAAAGGAATAAAATATCGCTGACATAAATAAAGATAAACAAACAACACTACAAGGGTTATAGTGGTATGGCTTAATACCTAGTATCTATTTATTTCCCAAATTCATATGGCCAAATTTGTACGAATTTGTAGCGCTAACCACTCTGCGGTCGTGGAAATTCATTTTACTGTTTAAAAGCTTCTTTCGTAATACGCCACTGGCTACTAACTAAACAGTCTAATAGACTGTGGCCATATAACTTTCTTGTGGATCAACCTAATAAACAATTCATGTAACGACCCTCCTTCTGTCTGTTGTCAGCACTCTGTAACATCAATTTCTGAAAGCTTAGGTTTTTGGTATCGGCATTACGACTGTCTGATGAGCTGGGCCTATCGTCCAGTTTTTCTGAAAAAGAAAGTGTTCATTGAAGAGTGGTAGTGACACGAAGGATAATTTTATTTTGTTTTGTAATGTTGTGTAATAAAAAGCGACATCAAATGCCACTCGTACCACATAAATACTCATAATAAATCACTGTAAAATAAAACAAAGTGAAGTCTTTGTTTTTGGAACGAAGTTCCTTATGGGAAGGTGTGGCCAGAGGGATTTCATGAGAAAAAGCGCATGCTACGAAAAATCGTTAGTCGCTATCTCTCTCGCTCTGTATTCACTGCTTGTAAAGAGAAAGTAATCTGTCTACTTCCATTGCACATTTTTGTTTAATGACTCGACAACAAAATACATCGGAGATCGAGACATGTTGCGTACGAATTTTCTATAATTTGATGAGGAATGAAATGAGACCAGTCTTGTTTCTCTACAATCAACAGCTTTCAAGTTTTCAATATTTAACTAAAAAAATTGCGGCCTTTCTTCAAACAAATAGGTGTAGTTTATTAGTAAATCAACTTTTTTGTTTATTACTAAGTAATCAATACGCTGATCATTATTTTTTAAAACATACCTTTTTAAAAACTTATAAATGAGATATTTGTCAAATAGCATAAGAAACTTCGTTCCTATCGGGTGTCCCGCGACACCACACGGCTTTTTATTTGATATTTCCTTCCCATACCTAAAAACAATAAAACTGCCCAGTGCATGCCAGCCCACACACTGTATAAGGTTGTGTAGTTTAAGAATAAAATTATATTATAACATAAAAAGCAAGTATTTTTAATAAATCTGGCGAAATTTGTGAAATCGGTATATTTGTAAGTTAACTATTTACTCTTCCATTACAGATCTAACCTAACCGTACTACCATCATCATTTTTTTTTCAGATTTTTTTCAGGTTTTTCCTTCCAAGCAGGCACATTCTTTTGGTTCTGTTCAATCAGGCAAAGTTTGCTATAAAAGGAATTAGCTTTCTTAACAAAAAGGACTGACTTGTAAAAATATAAACTTGTTTTCACAATATATTTCCATATTATTACATTATATTGCTTAAGGCTTTAACTATATGCTGTTTATCGGATATGATGTGACATAATGTATTTATTTAACTGATTTACAGCGCTTTATATGCAAAAAAAAGTATAACCACTTAGAACATGATATCCCTACACATTTGCAATATTATACGAACTATTAGATAGATGAAATAGCATAAAATTAACAATATTATAGAGGTTGAAGTTCAGCAACATAATCAACAAATTTAAAATAATAAAAAAACGGACTTTATTATTAGTAAGTTATTTAAAAATAAAATCAAGGAAATAAACTCGGTAAGGTGACATTTATTTTGGAGTTCGTTAAGAGTTTCCCGTAAATTGTTTATATATATTATTTGTAAATTATATTATATTATTTAATATTTACATGCATTTACACAGTGTATTTCTGTATGTTTATAAGATTAAAAATTATTTAATATTATAATTATATTATAAATGCATATTTATAAGGTATTTGTCACGCCTTTAGCTTTATAACTATGTAAACTAATCTTGACGGTTAATTTTAACTATATCGAACTACTACTTACCTACTTGTGACTATATTGAAGTTCATCCTTATGGAAACGTGATGGATAGCGGAACTCGATAGTGACTGCTCGAAACCTCTCGAATTGACATCTTGACATGAGCCCATCATGTGATTTGCTTTGAAGAGATCACCAGATTGAACTTAGTAATAGTGGTACGATGATGAAATCAGGTGATAAATAATTAACTCTTTATTAAGTTTTGTTTTTATATTATACTAAGCTATTAAAATATATTTGACTTTTACTAAAAATAAATGTAATGGCAGTATAACTATTCACGTCTAAAAAAGACACTGTCACGAGCTTATATAATATAAATAAACCGATTTAAGTAAGTACTTTGTCTAACTGGTGCCATTGTGGTATGGTTGCTAGTGCCACGATTTTGGACAATAATAAAAATAGCACTTAAAAATTCGACCACTTGAGATATCAAATGAAATCAAATTCTGCCCTTTTAATATTCACCCGTTCACATAAAAAAATTTTTTTTTTTCCTTATACAATTTCCTTATATATTCATAAATAACTATACAATGTTATATAGATAGTTCGAATTCTTACTAACCCGTTATAGGCAGCTCTTTAACTTCAAACTTGTTACTAGAAAACTTTGCTACTATTTAAAATCTTAAACACTATAAAAAGCCAATATTAAACACACTTGCCTGCTCCATTGTAAATACCTAATATTTAATCAAAAAAATATAACAATTTCATGTAAATGTACCTATAATTATTTAATGCATAATACATATTGTCATCATTTCAATGTCGATTTATAATAATGGTAATAAAAATAGTGGTTATAATTAAAGTAGCAAGGGTTTTAGAAAATCCTTGTGATTAAACTGAATTTTGCATGAAGCATCAGTATTGATCACATCATCAGCCTTTAATAGTCCACTGCTGGACATAGGCCTCTCCTTAGAAAGGAAGTTTTGGCTCTAATACTTGTATCTTCTTCAATCTCCTATCTCCAATTCCGTAAATATTATTTATCATTTGGTTCTTTCTTTAGTAGTGTATGAGTAAAGAGAAGAAGGAAGTAAAGAGTACGAGATACTAAGTTATCCGATAGTTATCGAATAATCTATTAGCTTTATTAAAACAATGTCTTTATTTTTTACGGTTTTCTTAATAATACGTATATTATTTGCCAATGTTTTAATTAGTTTCGTTGATACACCGAATTTTCGGCATGCGGGTTTGGTCACGGTGCTTATATTGAATCTAGTATTAAAAACATTAATAGAAATACTCCTAATTTAATATTACAGGAAAAACTACCTAACGAACACAGTAAAAAAACAATAAAAGTAAACATAAACACAAATTTGGCTATATGTATATAAATACAAGTTTTGTAGGCACTATAATACTTTATGTAGGAATAAACGATAATCATCATTTATTTTCGTCATATTAACATAATGTTAACAACATAGATATTATATTATTAAATTTTTACAATACCACACCTCTTTGACATGTTAAGTAGTTGTCACCAAGCCAATCTGTCTGTGCGTTTGGAAAAACGATGGACGGCCAGTTTAACTAGTAAACTGGTTCCTGAATAGGATTAGGATATATGTGTATTGGTAACCACACTAATATTATAAATGCGAAAGTGTGTCCGCTGAACCGATTAAGATGACATTTTGTATAGAGATAGTTTGAGTCCTTGGAAATGACATAGGATAGTTTTAATCCCAGCAATCATCCTTTAAGGGGGTGAAAAGCGGGGTAAAATTTGTATGGGGAATCATTAGCAGCTTAACTTATTTATATGAAATTTGATATGGAGATAGTTGGATTCTTGAGGAAGGCCATAAGCTATTTACCGTGATAACTGACATACACGTATACTACACAATATAAGACTTTTAAGGACTTCTAGAGGTAAAATGTTTGATTATGTAACAGATAGACAAGACTATTCGGAAATTTTAATGTTACAATGACATTATACATGAAAGGCGGTTCCGTCGTCTCGAATACTCTCATTTACTTACTACTGAAATTACTTGTGGCTAAATAACTACTCCTCTTTACAGGCGTAATAAGTAAATGTTAAACGATATATTCGCTATGATAGTAATAAATCGAAGATTATACTTTTATTTATCTTAACTTAAAGTAACGTTACTGACGTACTTCATAACAGGTATAAATTTCGGTAGTGCAAATAGGGAACGGTAGTTAGTTAGTTATCCTGACTGCTGAAATAGAGTCGTGACTTCGATTAATAAGGTTAAATATTTACATGAAAATAAATGACCATGCTCGTTATCATCTATTTATTACCTGGGAGTCATTTATCTGTTATATTTACCTATTTCATGACATACAAGTAGGTTTATCAGCAGTCTGGTTCCCATAGTTACGTAAGGTTTAAAAAATGATTAAAACTGATTCAGAAATCTACTTAAATATTAAATTCATTTAATAAAGTTTGAGTGAAATGACACTTGATTTGACACATACCTAACGTACGGAATAAACATAACTAGGCCGGTCAGCTCAAATCACCTAAATTTATTTGTCTGTAAAAAAATATTCAATAAGTAATAATTACGCTCTACACTCGTTGAATGGCTTTGTTATTTACATGATTAACACGCACTACTATTTTCAAACAAACTTCGTAAGTATGCCTAATTTTGATTTTTCTTCAAATTCCAGATGCTTCCCAGAAAACGGTTAAGAATAGTGACTAGTGTATTAATATGTTTCCTGTTACGAGCTCAAGGTGCCGATAATGATAAAGACGAGAACAAACCTTACGAGTTTGGCTTCACTGTAGATGTCGAGGGCTCAAAACACCAACACCGACATGAGGCCAAAGGTAAAAATTATGTTTGAATTTAAAAATGTATTACAGCTAAGTAACAATCATACGAAAACATTTTTGGACTTGCGTACACTATTGTGACCAAAACATCGTTTAATATCCAAAACCAATCTTCTGTTTTTTTTTTTTCAAAATCTTAAACTAAATAGTTTCGAAAATAAGGGGTAGGTACTGCCATTCAGTTTCCATCTATTTTTCAAGTGTCACTCTTGAAACAAAAAAAAAAAAATTTAGACCGTAGGTAATTGTTCGGTCAATCTGACAATCGCTCCAAAAACGGAAACATATCTTTATACGTAGGTATAACACATGAAACACACGCACGCATGTACATGCGCATACACACATATACGCAAACACATATTCACGCACCCACCCACGCTCCCACACTCACAACCACACTGTTTCTATTAAAACTGGGGTTTGGGACTGTTACTCCTTAATACAGGTTATTCCATAACCTAGCTAGGAGGACGGCGCTTTGACCACTCATTGTATGCACGTCATCATCATGATCAGCCTATCGCAGTTCGCTGCTGGACATAGGCCTCTCTTATTGCAAGCCACTTGATCGGTTTTATGCACGTATCTTAATTAATTTCAGTTCAAACTATTATTTACTACAATAAGCTAACGAAATAGAAATGCATTATTATTATTATGCTCTTTATTTCATTAAATATAAATTACATTTATAAATACATTTATGCACAAAAATACATTTAAAGATATAAAAAAATAGTATTCCATCAAAATAGTCCTATTAAATTTTCATATACATTTGATGATGGGTTTTGAAGACAGACAACGGAAATCTTCTAAAAATGACATCAAATCAACCGTGATTGCTGCTACGTTCTTAGTGCTCTTGGTTAATATTGTTTGTGGTCGGTTCACCTTTTTTAAAAGGATTTATTACTATTGCATACCCAAAACGGTTTTTAATCGTAACCATGATCGTTAAGCGCTCACTGGCGACAAGGGTTGTATTCTGTAGGATAGGGGAATGGTAAATATATTCTGTTCTCTTTACGCTATCTCTTTCGTGTTACGCCCTTTTTTTTTTTTTCCGTGCGGAAATCCCCTCGGATACCACCTGTCGGTGGCATGTCGGACTCGAACCGACTAAAACCAAACGCCTTCGCCGGGTACTAATAGCCGGGGAACCAGGTATACCCTAGAAAGGAAGTCCCTGGTGCCATACCTCGGGTCATCTACAGACGAGTAGACGACCCCCGCCCCGTGTGGGAACCCCATGTTCCCTGTGCTCCCTGGAAGCGAGCGCGCTTCGCAACGCGCTCGCCGCCACCCCGGCCTGCTTCTGCTAGGGTGACAGATGGCCTCACCTGTCACCCCCAGGCCTGCGCTTATGGAGGACGGAGGTCGTTCTGCGACCTCCGGCGCCTGAGTCCCCTGCGCTGCCTGGCCCGTGCCCGGGCCTGGCGGGCCGGGAGAGTTCTAAACCTCTCCCGGTCCCGCTCCGCCGTCTCCTTCGCGAGTCGTGTTACGCACTATGAAGTATGAGACTAAAACAAGCCATAGTCTCCACGGAGAGGCTACACAAAATACACTGACTCAATAAATGACATTGAAAAACTTAGTTGTAACTGAAGTATCAAGAGTATGTTCTCCCACACATTCAAAGTAAAAGAATGAGTTTGTTTGCACCATACTAACAGATTTACCATGTTAAAACTTATTATAGATTTTACTAAAATCTATAAGTCAAACAGTATTTTTATACTTTAAATGATGATGTGATGTGTGCCTGTGATGTGATGTGATGCCTTAAAATGTTGTGCATTAATCTCAATGTAATGGATGCATGCTTTAGATTTTAGTAATTAATGTCACAACTACTGACTGTTGAATAACTAAATAAATAAATAAATACTTCCGCCTTGTGTATATGTGTATTGAAGTACATTTATCTAAATTATTATTAATAAATTATTTATTTATAGCTAGTATTACATCTGCTTTGTAAGCGAAGATTAAACATTGACAATATTTTAGTACTTAACCTCGAAACATTCAAAATCCAATATATTTTTTCCTATATAGACTTCTTTCGCTAGTAATTTTTTTATGAGAATATTCAAGAATAAATTCTCAAGGGTTATAGGCATTTTTGATATTTAAACGCTGTCATTTCACTTCAAATAAAATTAGGTATGTATGGGAACCTGCTATTGTCCTTTATTTGTAGAACAGCATTAATGTTTCCAAAAAGAAGCCATTACTTCTTTTTAAACATTTATAATATTTTCTATATTTAAAACTGGTATGAATTTTTTCTTAGAATATTATTCTCGAACCAACCTGCCAGACAGTAATTTTATAAAGACAAGGATCCGTATTTCTCTTTTTTAAAAGATAACTCCCGCACTAAGAATATATTCTGTGTCGCGGGGACGTTACATCCACACATGAAACGGGCACAAAGAAAACCCAGACAATTTGTCGATCACATAAAGTATTGTCCCATGTGGGGATCGAATCGTGACCGCGAAGATAATGTTCGGTACGAAATTACTAGTGCGTAATTCAGACCTCTTATTTATAATCTTAATTTTTTCTTTGAATTGCGTTACGAACGCCGTTTCACTTCTAATTGTTACCGTAGAGCTACGTGTTTTACACACAGATACAAAACAAATGAATTTGCTCATCACACAACATTTGTATGATCAAGTAATTCTAAGTTGAATTAACAAAAAAAAAAACAGATTTACTAAATTTGCCAACGTCCTTGTCTTCGAGCGTAGTCAACAAGAAGCAACGATTTTAGGATAGCTCTGAAACTGGGTTGTTTATTGTTAAGTTTTAGCTTAATCTGATTAAAAGTTCGTTTCAATTCAGAAATTTTGATTTCAATGCTAAACGTTGTGTTCCGATATTGTTTTTAACAATTTTTGTATAATTTGCTGTACCGATCTAGCAATAACATGAAATTTCAATAATTTCTAAATTTTCATTTAATTTATATTTAAAAGCGGGTACATATTCAGTTGATACTTGTGCTTATATTGTTACAAAATTATTATTTTTTAATCTAACTGGTTTCGCCTCACGGTATTTTCAAAGGGTATTGATGACAATAGACTCAAACATATTGATGACAATACCCTATTAGGGTATTATAAAATACCTTGTAATTGTATTTATATTTTATTTTTATAACGAATTATTTCTCTTCTTTTAGTCGAAATATGAAACATAGAAAAGGTTCTATAGTTTAACTCTATTTCCTAATGGGGGGATAACCTACTTAGATAATTTTAAAAACAATCTTGTATTTAAGATATGAACTAAAACGAATAAAAGAACTTTATTGAACTACTAATTAATAAAGTAAAGAACTTTATTGAACTAATAATTAAATAATTAAGTAGGTACTTAAGTTTTGGTTTAATGGCATTATTGGTTTTTAAAAAGCTTAGCACGTGTAATGTAATAAAAGTACGAATAGACACCAATGAGTGTCATTACTAGATAAATAATTATTTGCTCATAAAAACTTACTTGAAAATAAGGTTTTTGAATTATTTTATTTTTAAATTAGCATTTATAATCAATTGACAAAAACCGGTGAACAATTACTAGTTATTCTACCTACACAATCAAATACTAATTTTATGATTTTGGCAGTTGACAATAATCATTTACCACACAAATCAATTTAATTTGAATTTGGTGACATCATCGAAACATACATAACTTCCATTTAAGTGGTCGTTATTTGAACGCCGGTATTTTTATTCTAAGTAATATTTATACATATTTTAGTTACATATTTTAGTTATTTAACTTTTTCTAATGAATGCTATATTTGTAGTTCTCAAAACGGGTATGTTTGTAATGTGTTTAGATAGTTTGGTTATTGTGTGTTTTTACAAGACAAGAAGAGTTTTTCTGAGTTATGTGGCAATAATGTATAATGAGTAATTTAATCAGTAAATACATGTTACGTGAGACTTACTTACCCACTACATAAACGCCTTAGTAACTGTTTAGAGGCTTAAAATCTTCTTTCAAAAGCCCTAAACCTTTTTTTTTTTTTTTAAAGTGTGGAAATCCCCTCGGACCGTCACCCCACCGGGGTTTGCGGCGGGGTGGTGTGTCGGACTCGGACCGACTAAAACCACACGGTGTGCCACTCTGCGCCTGTAATAGGAGGGATCCGGGAACAGCTGTTATTAAGACATCCGGACCCCTCCTAGCGCCGGCCCGCTCCTGTTGCGGGCCCCGTCTCAAAATTTTCCTCTCTTTAGGCGACGTCCGGCACACGCGGACACCGCCCCCTCGCGGCTAGCCAAACTAATGCGGGTGGAGGGGAAACCCACCCCGTCCACCCGCGGCCACACTCAGGGCGGCATGAGGCGGTGATAGGCGCGCCTCCGCCGCCCGGTTCGCCGGCGGCGGATCGGGTCCGAGTGGAGGTCGTCCTCCCGGGCCTTCTCCGCCTGCTCCTTCTGCGAGGAAGTAATCTCGCGTTGCGACCGCGGTAAAACAACTGTCGCTACCGGCCATGGAGCATACTACGGCCGGTAGCGAGAGATCCACTCCGATGACTGCAGTGAGGGCCCGGCGCTGCGTCGCCCATGCGGGGCAGACCGCCAGCGTGTGCTGGGCCGAGTCCTCACTGCAGTCGCAGTAGTGGCAGGCGGGACTCAGTTCCCTCCTAGCGACCGAGTGCAGGTACTTTCCGAAGCAACCGTGCCCGGAAAGCACCTGCGTCAGCCGGAAGGTAAGGGTCCCGTGCTGCCGCCCTGCCCACTCGGCGATGACCGGCTGGAGAGCCTCCACGGCGGCGAAGCCAGCGCGTGGAGTCTCCAGCCGGAACGACCAACGAGCCATCGTGGCTCGGCGAGCGGCTTCGCGCCACTCGCGCACGTCTTCGGGCGGAGGGTGAAATCCGCTCTCCGCCCGGGAGTCAGCCACTCGCCGATAAACTTCGGCGAGCACTTCCGCCTCCAAATCCCACGGGGGAGTTCCAGCCAACGCGCACGCCACCTCCGTCGAAACGGTGCGGTAACCGCGTATGGCTCTGAAAGCCATTACCCTCTGAGGGCACCAGAGGCGTGCCCTATTCTGGGCGGTCAGAGCCGCCGCCCACACCGGTGCACCGTATAGTGCCATTGACCGGACAACCCCCGTGTACAGCCGTCTTGTCGCGACGCTGGGTCCACCCAAATTGGGCAAAAGTCGCCCTGGGGCAGACGCAGCGCCGACCAGCTTTGGAGCAAGCTGTCGGAAGTGCTCGTCGAAGAGCCACCTCCCGTCGAGGATCAGGCCTAGATATTTCATCTGGGCCCGAACCGGTACGAGGACCGAGTTGACCACGATTGAGGCGCCAGGGGGTGGACCACGACGGGGCCCAAGAAATAACAGAGCCTCCGTCTTATCTAGGGCCACCCGTAAGCCCAGCGCCTCAATGCGCCTGGTGGTCACCAGGGAGACTCCCCTTGTGGCCAGGCGCGCCGCCTCATGGAAGTTCGCCCCCCGGGCTGTAACCAGAGTATCGTCTGCACCCAGCCCGGGGGGAAATCGGCTCGAAGGGCCCAGTCGTACCCTATGTTCCACAAGAGGGGTCCAAGAACAGACCCCTGATGAACACCGCACGACATGGGCCGACACCTCAAATTACCATCTCGGTCCTCGTACACGACACGTAAATAGTCTGCCACTAGCCGCCTCAGGTACTTTGGCACCTCATGATAGTGGAGTGCTTCCCTGATGCAGCTGAATGGCAGACTATTGAATGCGTTGGCGATGTCTAATGACACCGCCAACAGCACGCCGCCACAGCTCACGGCTTCTTCGGTCACGGCCCTCAGGCGCAAAACAGCGTCGACTGTCGAACGCCCCGCCCGAAAACCAAATTGGGCGTCCGACAGATCGGGGCCCACCTCGTAGAGGTGCCGGACGATGCGGGCAGAGAGAACCCTCTCAAACAATTTACCCGCCTCGTCCAGCAGCACGATGGGCCTGTAGGCCGCGACCGAATCGGCAGGCCGTCCCAGCTTCCTTAATAGGACCAGCTACCCGCTCTTCCAGCACTCAGGGAAACGTCCCGACGCCAAGCTAGCGTCGAACACCTCCCCGAGGCGGTCTGTCATGTGGTTGAGGGCTAGGGCCAGCACTCGGTCCATGGTTGTCGGGGGTAGCCTGGGTCGACTGGCTAGCCCCTGACGTCTGCCGAGAACTGCGGGGAGGCTTGCAGCCTCTCTGCCCCATCTGGTGATTGGCGGGCTTATTGCCCGCCGCACACGCTGGGCAGTGAGGGGCGGCAGAGCATTCTGCCGCCTTATGCCCCGGTTGACCGCAGCGGAAACACAGTCCGCCGCAGTCAAAGCAGCTATCGCACTTGATGCGAGTGTGTCCCGTGGCCAGGCATTTAAAGCACCTCATCGGTCTCGCCGCCAGAACTGTGACTTTGGCGTTTACAAAACCGATGAGGATCTTGCCAGCGTCGCCCAAAATTTTGGCCGACGCTACGGGACAACTGACCCACACTGCACCAAGCCCCCCTGGACCGGGGCGGATGGTGCCGACCTTGAGGTTTTCCGCGTTGCACCCCGTCTTCGCTCGCATTGCAACGCGGACATCCTCGGCCGTTACGGAGTCGTCCAGGCCCGAGATGCGCAGCTCTGCGCACTTAGTAGGCCTGGCGATCTTTACACCATCCGTAGCTGTAAAGAGTCCCCGCAGCTTCTCAGCAAATTTTTCCGCCGTCTTTGCGCCTTCAGCCCCTGGGAACTCGAGAACTCGAGCTCCCGTCTGGGCGAGGCGCATCCTGACCCCCACCGTCCCAAAATCATTGGCGAGGCTGTCCCGGGCCTTTTTAAAGATGGCCGCATAGGACAGCCCGCCGTCAGCCGACCCCGGGGACACGGTCACCACTACAGCCACGGTTTTGGGCGGCTGCAGCTTCCGCGGCCTCTTTGTAGAGGCCGTTGCCACCGGTGGCGAAGGCTGGGCTTGAGCTGCTTTTTGGGCAGCCCTTCTGGCCCGCCTTCGGGACTTCTTGGAGCCCCTCGCCTCCTGCCAACCCTCGTTGGAGGGGGCAGGGGTGTCGGAGTTCGGAGCGGAGGGAATGCCACTCCACTCCTCGGCGCCGTTTTAGGCCCCGTCTTGGCCGGCACTTTGGCCTGCGCCTTGGCCGGCGCCTGGGGGGTGCCTTGGCCGGAGCCTGGGCCGGTGCCTTGGCCCCCCTCCTCGGCTTTTGGGGAGCCGATGGAGTCGGGGCAGACGCCACCGCCGCGTAAGAGACGCGGCCTCCCACCACGAGGAGCGCGGTCGGAGCGGCGGCCTTAGGTCGCTGTGCCGACGCGAGTGGGGGGCGCACAACCGGCGCAGGGGGCAGTCTCGCCTCCAGGCCAGCCAGGCGTCCGTCCAGCATATTCCCAACTGCGATGAGGATTTCACGCAGTTGGGAGTCAAATGCCCCTGAGTTGGTGGTAGGGGCGGGCTGGGACGCGGACGGGGCTTCCCGCTCGGGGAGGTTCGCCTGGAAGCGGGCAAACTGAGCGCTCAGCTCGTTCACCCGCTGTGTCAGCCTCTCGTTGGCCACCTGTAGGCGAGAAACATCGCCCACTAGGCCCTCCACGACCTCCAACAAAGCGGAGGAGGAGTCCTTGAGGGCCCTCACAAACGAGCCTTTAAGGTTTACGGACTTGGTGGCCACCTTGTGGATGACGGCCACCGCCGCTTTCGCCCTCTCCTGCACGGACACGGGAGCCTGGGGGGCATTTCCCCCCACCGGAAAAGCCCTAAACCTAACCTAACCTTACCCAACTGAAATTACTTAAAAGTTATCTCAAGTTATTAGGGTGGCCTCCTCGGACCGACTCTCGTTCTCACCTTTATTAATGGCCTCTGGAATCACGAACTACGCAACGGCAAAAAATAGTTACATTCGCCAATGATACTGCACTGATTTTTCATGGGGACAATTGGGAGGATAAATATAACTGTGCCCGCATGACAAAACAAAAACCTAACATTTTCAAAACAACACATTTCATCCTACGTCTTAGAAAACTTGCCCAACACAGCTCATTCATGACCTATCTAGCCTATCTTGCTCATGTAAACAACTAGAAAGAGCCTCCTCCATTAAAGACCTAGGATTCATGATCGACAGCACACTTAGCTTCCAACAGCACAAAGATCTCTTCACTTCCAGGATTAGCAAACTGATTTTTGTTTTCAAAAATTCGAGACACATTGCAGATAAAAACGTTTTAAAAATGGTCTACCTATCCTTGTGTCAACCTATTCTAAGACTCGCTTGTTAAAGGTAGAAATAGCACAAAGAGCCGTTCTGAAGGATGGTCACTTCTTACCTTTTCGCTTTCCCACAACAAACCAAACCTTTACCAGCTTTCCGATATCTGCGTCAACTATTTGTGCTCTAAACCTATTTGTGCTCTACTTAAACAGCATTCGAGTTCGCACTTATAGAGAAACGCCTCATAATGTTTGTTACAGATTAGAAAATCGAAGGCCTTTTTCCTAAAATTCTTTAGCTTTCTGGGGGGATATCTTTATAACGAGTTAAACAAACTTGTTTCGATTTATCAACTCACAAAACTTCATTGTAAACTCACTCTGTGCACTCTGTCACTAAAAACTCTAACTTATAAAGAAACCGAAAAACTACTTACTGTTCCTTCTTAGATCATTTAGTGCACTTTATCCATCACAGACACTCACCACACACAACACCTTACAAACCATTGACACCACATCACATCACTAACCACATCACGACACACTCACACCACACAAATTGGACACCAAATCATCCTACCCTAAACCTCACCTTCCCTTCTCTCAACCTGTTCTTAGTAATAAAATAATATACCTCAGTTACACAACACTCAACCTATCCAGAGTCTGGAGAGTCTGGTAATCTGTCATACAGGTCTCCTAATATAGATACCAGTCTCCCACACAGATTTGCTGAATAAAATTGCAAATTTTATCTTGTATCGCTTCACTTTTTTTTGATTGTGTATACTGTGTGAGTGAAAAAAATAAAGACTAAGTACTATATTTTATTTTATATTTTACTACATACTTGCCCCACCTAAAATATGATAATTTTGTGTAAAAAAACTACGTGCAGCTATGTGTTATAGGAAGCCGGTCAAATTTTGAGACATTGGTGTGTGTTTATTCAGATGTGTAAAAAGTAATTACAGTGGTGCACATCAATAGAAAACGCTATTTATTATTTCCGCAACAACCAGTAGTTTTAACGTGAATAATCGGTTACACGTAATAATCATTGTTTTGTCAACATAGTTTAATCAATAAGGCCCACCATTTGACCATGACTGCACGCCCGTTTGTATGTTGTTTGATCTGACAATTACTCAATAAAAGAAGTTTTCTTTCTTTTACATGAATCAATTAGGTCTTCTGCGTAGTTTACATGTAGTTTTTCTTTAAATTATATTAAGAGTGTATCGAATTTCATCGAGTTATCGAATGTATTACGTTTTAGAAACATAAATAAGAAGTTATACTTTTCTAGTATAATTTACACTGTCATTTTATGGACTTTAAGCTTTGTGACAAGTAAAGTAATCGTTTTAGAATAATTTATAAATTTACACACAATTAAATCCAAATGTCAAATTCCTTCCTTAAAATTCACTTAAGAAGGGGTTCAAATAATTCTCTTTACATAGAAATAATGAGAGGTTGTCTCATTGTAAACAGTAAATTTGTATATTTTTAAAATGCTTGAAATGTTTTAGATAAAGACGGGCTTGTCATGGGGGAGTTCGGTTTCCTCACTGCAGATGACGTGTACCATGTTACAGTGTACGCCACAACCAAAGAAGGAGATTTCAAAATATTATCTACGAAGAATATAAATTTAAAGTCCTGTAAGCATTTTTAAGCAATTTTACAGCTTTTTAATTCTGAGTTTAACAAAAAATCTGCCGTCGCTTGATACGAATAAGGTGCTATGGCTATTGTCACCACTTAAAACCGTGTACTGTAATATATGCTTCATAACTAGATAATATAGCGTCGTGGTAAAATCATTTAGGAAAAGAATGAAATAAAACTCCTTAGGAACAGAACAATAGACAAAAGATTATTATGTAATAAACGTGTCCCTTAAATTTAAAATTACGACCGATAAACTAACGTTTCATTTTTTTATTTTAGCAGCTGATGCTGTATCAACAAGACAAGGACATTCCCTTGACTTACCAAACCCAGGATCTGCTGCAACTGCTACGACTGTTACACCTACAGCAAGCTCTACCAATGGAATACATACGACACCAAGTGCATCCATTACTCTCCCAACATTCACTTCGTCTAATGAACCGAAAATCGCAGCAGCTGCAAACGTTACATCTGTAATTCCCTCTACACTTGCTGCGTTAGTTGCTTCAACAACTGTGCCTACACCTGCGATATCTATTACTCTCACTCCGCCTCTAAGGACTACAACGCTATCAGCACCCGCTGCAGTTACCACACCTTCTGTATCCGCAGCCATCATGGCACCCAAAGAACTCAAAGTACAGACAGCAAATGTGGCCCCTACCTTACTTCCCACTGTAGCTGCTAAACTCATGGTGTCCTCTCCATCTGCATCGGTTGTTGTACCGATGGGGGAACTCGAAATACAAACTGAACTCCCTGTTTTAACCCCAGTCGTTAAATCTGCCTCACCCAATTTTTCCGCTGGACTCGTTACTGTGGATAAACCTTCTATGCCAGCTACAATCACTAAGCCAGATGCAAGTGTTTCACCTGACGTACTTTCGGCAATCATTAAGTCCATTAGTCCCACTGTAAACGGTTTAGCTGGTAATTCACAAATTTTACCCACTTTACCTAGTGTAACCAGTACACCTCCTAATACTCTCAATCAAAAGCCTAATAAATCCCCAGTAATCAACACCACACCTAAAAATCAAATGCCTTTTAAGCTATTTTCTCTTGAGCCTCCAGGCAAATCATGCAGCGGTTGTAGTCTGCCGACTAGAACACCACTAACACCACTTTTAGGCCAGCGATCTAATTTTCCTTCAGAACTTTCGGTGCCTGAATCTGTAAAGAAAAATATTATAAAACTTGGGATATTTGACAGCCAACGTTTGGTCCCTCGAGTTAAAAAGCCCTATAATTCTCAATTAGGATCTGATTCTCTTACAAGTACACCACCCAATGATCCACAACCAAATTTACAGGCGCAACCTCCTAATGCACTTGGAGCACAAAAGCCCCCACCTCAAAATTCTGCTGATCTTTCTCCGAATCAAAACTCCGGAACTCCGGAACTCAAAACGGAGGATGAACCTAATAACGATTTAAAAAGTGACTTAAACTGGTCAGGAGTATCCACAATTAAACCACAAACAGATTTAAAACTAAAGTTTAATGGTCCATCTCCTATTAAAAGCTCCAATACAACACGCGAATCTCGAAAACAATCTTTAAAAAAACCAGAAGATTCAACTCCATCGAGGTCTAACTCTAACACAACGGGTGAACCTCCAAAGGATTCCAACTCAAATCGGTCCTCTAAAACTCAGAGCTCAGAGACAATGCAAACTCGAAAAGATTCGAAACAAACCTTAAACGGTCTATCTCCAACTCAGAACTCTGACACAGCTAGTAATTCACAAAAAGATTCAACACAAAACTTAAATAGTCCTTCTCCTACCCAGACCTCCAACACAGCCAGTGCTCCACCAAAAGATTTAATACAAGGCGCAAAAGGCCCAACCCCTACCCAGAACTCCAATATACCAAAAGATTCAACAACAGACGCAAAGGGTTCACCACCTTTCCAGAACTCTAACACACCCAGTACTTTACCAAAAGATTCAACACAAGACGCAAAGGTTCCATCTCCTACCCAGAATTCCAACACACCAAAAGATTCAACACAAGATGCAAAGGGTCCCTCTCCTACCCAGACCTCCAACACACCAAGTAGTACAACAACAGATTTAACTCAAGACGCAAAGGGTCAACCTCCTACCGAGACCTCCAACTCACCAAGTAGTGTACCAACAGAAAAAGATTCATCACAAGACTCAAAGGGTCCATCTCCTACTCAGAACACTAAAACACTAAGAGATTCAACACAAGATGCAAAGGGTCCCTCTCCTACCCAGACCTCCAACACACCAAGTAGTACAACAACAGTTTTAACTCAAGACGCAAAGGGTCAACCTCCTACCGAGACCTCCAACTCACCAAGTAGTGTACCAACAGAAAAAGATTCATCACAAGACTCAAAGGGTCCATCTCCTACTCAGAACACTAAAACACTAAGAGATTCAACACAAGAGGCAAAGGGCCCATCTCCTACCCAGACCTCCAACACACCAAGTAGTCCGCCAAAGGATACAACACTAGACGCAAAGGGTCCATCTCCAACTCATACCTCCAACACACCAAGTAATAAACCAAAAGATTCAGCACAAGATTCAAAGGGCCCATCTCCTACCCAGAACTCTGACACACTAAGAGAGTCAACCCAAGACTCAAAGGGTCCATCTCCTACCCAGACTTCCAACATACCAAGTACTACACCAAAAGGCTTAACACTAGACGCAAAGGGTGCATCTCCTACCCAGACCTCCAACACACCAAAAGATTCAGCACAAGACTCAAAGGGTCCATCGCCTACCCAGAACTCTGACACACTTAGAGAGTCAACACAAGACTCAAAGGGTCCGTCTCCTACCCAGACTTCCAATATACCAAGTACTACACCAAAAGATTCACCACAAGACGCAAAGGATCCATCTCTTGTTCAGACGTCCAATACACCAAGTAATCCACCAAAAGATTCAACACAAGACGCAAAGGGTCCATCTCCTACCCAGACTTCCAATATACCAAGTACTACACCAAAAGATTCACCACAAGACGCAAAGGATCCATCTCTTGTTCAGACGTCCAATACACCAAGTAATCCACCAAAAGATTCAACACAAGACGCAAAGGGTCCATCTCCTACCCAGAATTCCAATATCCCAAAAGTTTCATCCAAAGACATGAAGGGTCCATCTCCTACCGAGAACAGCTCTAACACACTAAGTAATCCGCATAAAGATTCAACACAAGACTCAAAAAATCCATCTCCTACTCAAAGCCCTGATACACCAACTAAACCACAAAAAAATTCAACACAACACCTAAACGGTCCATCTCCGACCCAAAAGGCTGACACACCGAGTAATATAGAAAAAGATTCAAAGAAAACCATGAAAGGTCTCTCTCCAACTCCAACCCCTGATATACCAAGTAAACCACAAAAAGATTCAAAACAAGATGTAAACGGTTCATCTCCTACCCAGAACTCTAATGCACCAAGAAAACCAAAAAATATTTTAAAACAAAATTTAAACGATCCATCTTCTAGTCAGAGGTCCAACACACCAAACAAATTACAAAAAGAATTAAAACAAAACCTAAACGGTCCGTCTCCTACTCAGAACTCCATTACACCAAGTAAACCACAAAAAGATTCGAAACAAAACTTAAACGGTCCTACTCAAAACTCCAACACACCAAATAAACCACAAAATAATTCGAAACAAAACTTAAACAGTCCCTTACCAACTCCGAACTCGAACGCGCCAAGCAAACCGCAAAAAGATTCAAAACAAAACTTAAACGGTCCATCTCCTACTCAGAACTCGAACGCACCAAGTAAATCACAAAAAGATAAAAACCTAAACTTAAACGGTCCACCTACTACCCAGACTTCCAACATACCAAGTACTACACCAAAAGGCTCAACACTAGACGCAAAGGGTCTATCTCCTACCCGGACCTCCAACTTACCAAGTAATTTACCAAAAGATTCAACACAAGACGCGAAGGGTCCATCTCCTGTTCAGACGTCCAACGCACCAAGTAAACCAGAAAAAGATTCAAAACAAAACTTGAACGGTCCATCTCCTACTCAGAACTTCAACGCACCAAGTAAACTACAAAAAGATTCAAAACAAAGCTTAAACGGTCCATCTCCTACTCAGAACTCCAACGCACCAAGAAAACCACAAAAAGATTCAAAAAAAAACTTAAACGGTCCATCTCCTACTCAGAACTCCAACGCACCAAGTAAACCACAAAAAGATTCAAAACTAAACCTTAACGGTCCATCTCCTACTCAGAACTCAAACGATCCGCTTGCGGCATCAGATGTACCTGAAAAAGACCCCATAGAAAACCCTAATTATCCATCTCCAACTGCAAGCCCTAAAGGTTTAAATGAAATCTCAAATCATTTATCACCAATGCAGAACTCTAAACCTTCACGAGGATCTCAACGATATGTCCAACCCACTTTACAAAGCCCACCTCCAACACAAAGTTCCACTACTCCGAACAAGAATAGGGGTTCAAAGAAATATACTCTCCCAGATGATGTAAAACCTACATTAGTTTCTGCGGATTTGAGAATAGTTGATAAGAATACAGACATTAACACGCTTCGTCCTGGTGAAAAAGCAGGGCTACCAGATGGTCTGAATGTAAACGATATGACAAAAATACTTTATACTTTTAATTACACTGTTGGTTTTCATGGTCATTTTGAAGAAGGTTATGCAAATGGTACCAAAAAAGGTTACTATTATGTTACTGGTAGAGATGGCATTAGAACGAGGATCGATTATGTGGCCGATGACACCGGCTTCCATCCTAAAGTTACACAAGAGGTACTTGATTTACTCTCTGATGATGTACCTAAACCAGAAACGGAAAAAGATGCAAAATTTGGACTTAAGAGTTCTGAATTCAAATGGTTATATTATCCAGTTGAGCCAAAAATAGCAATAAACACTTCCCTGAGATAAATATATTGGCTAGGTAAAGAATATAAATTGTAAGCTTCTGGAAACCAAATCCTATTAGAAATATGATAAATTGTACTTCTTTGTGTATACTTTCTAAATAAATAGTTTTTAGAATAGGTATTTAAGACAAAAGTATTAAGGCTTACTTGTATGTATATACGTATATTTTTAAATAAAAAATATGCCAACCGTACACTGCCCCGCTACTGTAATTTTTATAAGTTTTTAATGTATCGTGATTACTAGAAGGCCGATTTACAGTTTTTTTTAGTTCAAAAGTTTTGTTTTGTAGTTAGTGCAATTTTTATTAGGCCAGGCACTCCTATGTATAGTGGTTTAAGTATATTTATAGAAATATGGTATAAATTCAATATACTTAGTACACGCCTGATTTTTTTACAGTACGTACAGAGTATTTTATAAATAAAAAACACTCATAAAGTAATTTCTTTCTGGCTTGCCATAAAAGCTTGCATATATAAATGGTTGCCGAACCGTCACTGAACAAAATTATATAAAAATGTCAATTCGGACAAGAAATTTCCAACTACGTTTATGTCCGAGTCGTCAGCTACTTAAAAAAAAATATAAAAACGTTAAAAAGGAAAAATACTTGTATGAAAATAATTACACATTTATTTGAAAAGAAATAAAAAACAAGGTCTTATATTACGGCTATTTTATCTATCATAGTATTACGTTTGTTAAAAGATTTTTTATTTAAATAGTTATTAAGTTATACTAATGAGTTCCAGTAAGGAACCTTCATGTTATGTATGACGTTTATCGAACCTTTAAACAATTGTCTTGAATGGTATGCAAGATAATGTTAGTTGTGTAAATAAATAAGAAACATTGTTAGACTGTAATAAATTAAAAACATATTAAAAAATGAAATGTTAATATGGTGTGTATTATTTGCCCAGAAAATTATATTAAATACTACCTAACACGATAACATTAAAAATAAGCTTTTTTCAGGAAGAATGAATTGACATGTGTACTGTCTCGACTTTGGAAAAGTTGGCGTACCCGTACACCTTATTTATTCAGTTTCCAGCAAAGTTCAATTATAGGACGGCTGAAAGAAAGTTTAGTTTTACTATTCAAGGCAGCTCTATAGACCATGTCGTTGTGTATTTATGCCCGAAATATTTGCAGAACGATAAGCTTACGTGGCGCTGAGTAGAGTAAGGCAATATTTATTGAAAAGTTAGAATGCAACAAACTGAAATTTAACGTGGCCATGCTATACGTGGAAGAGCCATGCTTCGGCAAAAATGGGCTGGCTCGACCGGTGCGATACCAACGGTGCGATACGGAATTTCTGTAGCTAATCCTTTCCACCTTTCCAGTTTTAATTCGTTGGCCTATGATGCCAAGGAGAAAGCTGATCTCCTAGGCAAATTCTTTGCATCCAACTCGACTTTGGATGACCAGGGAAACGTACCGCCGACCATACCGCGGTGCCAGAGCTATATGCCGGATATCCGATTCACTCAAAAATCAGTGCGTAAAGCACTCTTTTAACTCGACATTCATAAGTCGTGTAGGCCAGACGGAATTTCTCCTATCGTGTTGAAGATGAGTGCTCCGGAGTTGGCACCGGTTTGAACGCGCCTTTTCCGTTTCTTCTACTCCCAAGGCGTTTGCCCGAACTCCTGGAAGGTAGCGTTTGTTTACCCGATCCCTAAAAAAGGTGACCGCTCTGACCCGTCCAACTACAGGCCTATAGTCATAACTCCTTTGTTCTCTAAGATTATGGAATCCATAATCAACAGCCTGCTCCTTCGGTAATTGGATGATCAGCAGCTACTCAATGACCGACAATATGGTTTTCGCCAGGGTCGCTCAGCTGGTGATCTTCTCGTCTTTCTAACACACAAGCGATCGAGACCTAAGGAGAGGCTTGTGCGGTTGGTATGGACATAGCGAAGGCCTTTGATCGGGTCTGGCATAAAGCGCTTCTCTCGAAGATCCCTTCCTTTGGGCTTCCCGATAAATTGTATAATTGCCCCGCACAACCAATCTGTGAAACGGGTTATCGTCTGCGATATTTCCGGACCGATACAACCTTCAAGAAAAGAGCGTACTCCTTCCTAAAAGGCCGGCAACGTGTTTGTGACTCCTGAGTTGCAGACGTTCATGGGCGGCGATAGTCACTTTCCATCTGCCCCCTCTAACATAAAGAAACAATGTAATAATGAGGCACTAATTGAACTAAAAAAAATGAGAAGTATTAGGTAACGGAATAAAATATAAAATTGATATAGGTATTTATTGAATTAAAATCTAAAAAAAGCTTTTATGGACAAGAAAAAAATTATGTGGTAGATAACGCTAAAAAATAATAAGATAAGCCCTAGTCATCAGTCATCGTACCAGTCTTCTCATCACTCGCATTATTTTATTATGCGCAAAAATAAAATACCACGGCGTCTGAAATTTCTATCAACAGTCAACAGTTATTTCAACAACAACCGATGGCATTTTTTTCAAAACAATTTTGATATCGTCTCTTCTTCTTCTTCTCTGTTGTGTCGCTCTTGGCAGAGCGGTCGTGGTCACATTGAGACGTCCACGCCGGCGGCAGAAGTGGACACAGCCCTCCGTATAATCGCCCGCCATCTCTCCCTGTCGACAGATTGTCAGATACAATCGGTCACGCAGCCTCCCACCGCGGATCTCACCTGGTCGGTCCAGCGCATAGGTGCCCTGCCGCGGCATCTGGTTCCCTCCACCTTGCCTTGCACTACCAGTCGCTGTATGGAGTCTCTATTCCACCTAGAGACATGGCCAAAATATTGCAGTATGCGCAACTGTACCGTGGCTGACAGACGCTCTGTAATGCCGAGCTCCTGGACACGTTGGTGCGGAAGTCCGTCCACGGTATCCCGAGCATTTTCCTCCAGCACCACATCTCTAGAGCGTCAATCTTTTTCTTTTCCAACTCACGGACTGTCCACGTCTCCGCGGCGTACAGAAAAATGGGGAATATGAGAGTTCGCACGAGCCTGATTTTGGTGGCTTTGGTGAGGTTGCGATTCCCCCAAACTCTCTTTTTCTTCTCCATTGCAGTTCTCGTTATGGCCATACGTCTTTTTACTTCATCTACGCAGCCACCGCTATTTGATTTTAAAGCCCCAAGGTATACCTACGTAGGTCTGGACCACGTCACAGTTCGCAATGTGTGTCACTTCCGGCGAGTTATCGTTGATGCGGTCCACGATCATCACTTTGGTCTTAGATCGGTTTATCTTTAACCCAAACGTAAGGCTTACGCGCTCCATTTTGAGAAGCAATTCCTCCATTTGGCCAGCATTACTCGCAAACAAAGTGGTATCGTCTGCGTACCGCAAGTTGGTAATCTTGTATCCACCAACCGCAACACCATCGGCCCAGTCTTCCAGAGTGATTCGCATCACAAGCTCGGTGTAGATGTTAAATAGCAGAGGTGAGATTATGCATCCTTGTCGAACGCCCGCACTGGGATGGAAATTATCTGAGAGGAGGTTGTCAGTCCGCACTGAAGCTGTTCCTCCTTCGTAGAACTTCCTCAGTAGGTGCACGAGGTGTTGTGGTGTGCCCATGTCAAGTAGTGTTTTCCACAACGTTGGCCACTTCACTCAGTCGAATGCTTTGGAGAAATCAACAAAGCATATGTAAGTGGGCTTTGGAGAAATCAACAAAGCATATGTAAGTGTGTAATTGTCTCTTATGTAGACTCTAAAGTCATAGATAGCAATAGCAAAAATCTCTGTTTTGTCAAATATTTAGGAAAATTAATATATACGTACGGAAAATATGTTATATGCCTGCCTATGTGCCGATCTACAACCGTCCGTTTCTAAGGGGTTGAGCCTGAAAGTTTTGTAATAATAAACAAAAAAAATTAACAAACTATTTATTGCTTCAACACTATGAATTACCTACGTACATAAATAAAAGATATGAAGGAATTAGTAAAGTCTGAATAACTATTAATATTATATCTACTACGTAATAAGCCTGTCCCTTCTACAGTGAGTAAGCTGTGCAACCAGTTTCGAATACATTCATATTCGTTGATAATATTTGTTAGAAAAATTTGTGTACAAAAATATTATACTAGCTGGTACCCGCGACTTCGTTCGCGTTGAATCTGAAAAGTCTTAGTGATGTAGTACGGGTGTAGCCCGGACCGGACAAAATTTTATAGGGTTTTTCTAAGAGGAAAAATAGCATACTCCTTAAATAGACAGGTACCTGGCAGTAAAATATAATGAAAATCGGTCCAGGGGGTTTGAAGATTACCATGACCGAACAGACAGACAATATATATTTAAACCGATTTTTAGCCATAGGGATTGTGCAAATGACCGTGTGAGAATGAAAAAACCTATTACTATGATATTATATACAGATTCTTCAATTTTATTTATTTATATAGATTAATAAAATAATTAGTACAAACTCGAAAGTCAATATGTTAAGAGAGCTAGTATTATCAAGGAAGTAATCAAAAGCAAATTAAAATTTGCATAATTCGTAATCTCTAAGAATTTAATTTAAACAAATACAAATTATACAGCTTACACGTGTTAACGGTATAAATATCAGCTATTTCCAATTACGTCACTCACACTAATTTTTTTTTGTTATATAAATGCTGTTTTATTTATATGCTCGACCGTTTAAGTAAAGTCAATCGATAACACATTTTAACATGTGTATAAAAAACTATTTCTAACATTACTGCAGCAATACTAGAATCGTTTGTAACTGCATTGTGTATTAAGATGATGGTTACTTCTTTAGGTGATCTCTTTATTATTTAGGTTAAGTGTTTCTTAGTAAAAGTATATCTTATTCGAGGAAATCACTCTTCTGTAACATTAACATGTATAAACATAACAAGACACAAATATTGTCTATTATACTATTACTTTGATGACACGTAGCAGAGTGCTGCAATATCTCACATTATCCACCAACAATCCAACATATCAAAACCCTAAGTG